CCAACTAGCCTCGTTTCTGGGTAGAAATTCCTTTGAAATCTTAACATGAGTACGAGGCTAGTTGGGCCAATTTATATGCACATAAAAGAATTTTTAATCGGCAGCCATTTATGAAAAGGGTCTATTGAATTTCGGTCGCCTGAAATACAACTAAGACAATAGATAAGGCTGTTTAAGGCTGAAGCTTAATGAGGTTTATCATCTCATTATTATCTGTTAACTATTGTCTTAGTCACATTCGGCGTATAAAACGTACCTAAAATATTGCCAGCGTGTATATAAAATTATTAAGAAATTAGAATATATATTTAAAGCACACGATTTTAGAGCAGCCTCCCTTGTATAAGTGCAGTTTCCAATTGTATACAATCAAAAAAGATACTATAATTACATTATTTCTATACCTTTATATACCCTGTATATACTGGTGCATAAATTATACACGTCCTAATTACACATTCAGTAAGTTATTTTTAATTGATGGAAAAAGCAAGACAAACTTTTGTTAATTTCTCGTTCAATGTTTAACCAAATTCAACCAAATTTTAATCAGCTCTTCCTTAGCCGATGGGACATGCATTAAAATGTATTAATATGTTGGGTATTTCTTGAGTTATCGTGCTGACAGACAAACACACATACACACTCGTACATACACACTCATACATACACACACATACAAACCCAGATGATTACATAACCTCCTGGCGGAAGTAATAAATGAAAGACTGATTTACTATCGGTGTAACAAGAAATACCCCCCCCCCCCTCAAAATTTGCCCCAGGCCAAATTTTCCTAGGAAATATGGCCCCCTCTCCGGACATTTTGCCCCCTTTGGAAACGTGGGTATTAAAATGCATTGAATAAAGTTTAGAAATCTTAAAATTTTTAAAGTTAGTTTGCCAGCTAACAAGTTAAAATGCATTCCGATAATGAACATCATGATTAACAATTATTTTTTTTCAAAATGGTTTCGATTGTGAATTCAGTCAATTTATTACTTGGATGTAGATCGTATAGGTAACCACAAGTGATGTACTCGCGCGACAGGAATTTCAGCGCTGATTAAAACGTCCAAGTTGTCGAATGTCTGCGTTTACAAGGTTATAAAATGCCTGTTTTACCATCATTGTCTTTTTAAAACAGAATTTCCACATATATTTTTCAGAGATATCTTTATAAGACACTTACTTTCATCAATTATACTTATATTTGTTCAATCCTACAACTAGGGGGCCAAGTTTTCGAGGAAAGGCCCAAATTTCCTAGGAAATATGGCCTCCGGGGGGAAATTTCCTGGGACAGCAGATCAAGATACTGTAACTAAAGCTGGAAGCTTTCTGTTCTACAATCTTTGCCAGAAACTATGGTACAGCTGCTGTAATTTCATATAATTTGAAAGGAATAGCGCCCCCCCCGTTCCCCCAGTTCAATGTTGTGCCAACAAAAATCTGATGTCTGGATGCGCGGCGCCAACATTGAAATGGGTGGGGGGAGGGAGGGTGGAAAATATGTATCAGGAAATGGTATATCACAACCGAATGCATGTGAAAACTAGATTGTCCCAATCTATATTGTCAAAGATTGTAGTTGAAAAGGGAGTTCTACAGGATCACTAAAATGAAGGATGGTATTGTGGATGGTATAGAAATCTTCACCGGACTAACCACCAAACTTATTGAGTATGCGTCGCAATTTCCAAATTTAAAATCCTTGTGTCATTGGTTGTCCGACAGCACTGGAGAGGACACTTCGGAGAGTAAGTTGCATATGTTCACACATAAATACTCTATTCGTAATAGACTAAGGATAATGGGAATATTGAAATATAATGTGACAAAAATAATCAAACTGATTGGACGTTTGTCAAATCATAAATTTGCATTAAAAATCCTGCACCCGTCTGCCTAAAGGCCATGCATGCATGCATGTCATGAACTTTGCGGTTTTAAAATTTTTACCGCATACACACACTCTTATATTGCCATGTTTTTTTCTAACTTACAAAAGGCATAAAGAAGATGAAAGAAACTGCCACCTTGAAACTGCTACCTCCTATTCTAAAAGATAAGAAAACCAATTTGTTCCTGCAATTGTTACGTAAGTATTTGCTTGTTAGAACTCCCTCACTTTCACACACACAAAAATCACTAGACATAATTTTGTCAGACTACATGCATGTTTTCAATGTATACAAACACTGGGTAATTTTCACCCTCATATTTCCAACGTTGCACTGCTATTCATTGGAGAGTTTGGCAAATAAAAGGGCTACAGCAATATGGTCATCAACAATAGTATTAATCCTCAAAGACAAAGGCGAATGTAAATTACATGGTCTTAAGCATTGTGCATTGTGCAAGCATTGAAACTAGCACGTGATTTGCACATTTTCACGTGCATGACTGTGGCAAAAGTTAATTCGTTCGATGTTATTTGAGGTGTTTTATTTGAATTCAGGGACTATTTTTACTTAAGGGTACGTTTGAAAGAAACAGGAATAGTTGAAGAGGCAAATTAAGTGTAGTAACGTGTATTTTGGCTCAAATACAACAATATAAGCAATTATATTTTCCCTGTTGCCGTTGCTGTTGCCATTCTAGGTTGCTAAACTCTCTATTGTTTCACAATGGCATAAGGTAGGCACCTCTAAGGTCATTGGACCAAACCTAGCTGTTCTATAGGCCTGAAATACAACATCTTTGGACACAAGGTAAAATATTATCCTATGTCTTTATTTCAATACTTCCAAACCCATATAGTTCTTAATCTTGTATCATCTTTTTACTGCGTTTATGTGATGATTGTAATTTTCTAAAATTGCAGGAGGATGAGGATATTGATGCTTTAGTAAATCAAACAACATCGCCTTGCATTACAGGTGTTGCGGGTGATCCATACCCGGATCCTGTTTATATCGCCGTGGAAGGATCAGTTCTTGGTCAAATATTGGATTTACTAGCTTCAGCGGCCCAACTACCTTTGGCATTCATAGCAGTCTATTATGTTTTCAACAAACACTATCCGCTATACTCAAATGTATATCCTTTTCTTGAGGTGATTCTATTCAATAACAAGGACATTATCAGGAACAAAGCTGTTGTTCACAAAGTTATATCCGCCTTAACATAAACTCTTAGTATATACATTTGACTCTCATTGAACGTTGTTTAAATTAACTTATTTTCACTTGTTTAATTCAGTAATTTGCACTTAACTATTTTTAGTTATTTGCATTTGATTTTAAAATGTACAAAACGTTTATATGTACATATGTTTTTATAGAATAAATCTTGATCTTGTTCCATAATTATATTGTTACTGAAATTATATATATGCATTCCTATTAAGGTAAACAGGTGTGCGGGTTGCGATAAGGTGGACTTGAATGATGTTGTTTCTTGCACTTCACTTGGTGGAATTATTATTAGAATGTTAGGGTTTGCATGTAATCCAAGTGATTATATACATTTTAAGACCTGACCAGGAACGACTGCAAAAAATGCAGCACAAGGTCCTCTGGTAGGAATTGAAGCTACGGCCCTGCGATTCCGGTGCAGCGCTCTAACCAACTGAGCTACAGAGGCCAGCTGTTGAGCTGTAACCGTAAGTTCATGTACACCATCTAAAACGTTTTATAATAGAGCTGTTTATTCATGCAGCTTATATTGTGGTATTGCATTGTTTTTCACCGCTTTTAGTTAATACAAGCGCTTTTAACCATTGTTTTAACTCTAATATTGCAAACATTTTAGCTCTAGCAGACTAACAGAGAGTTAAATAAACTCAGTCGTCATGTGAAGTAAAAAGGACTCTTAAGCATTGTTTTAACTCTAATTTTGCAATCATTTTGGCTCTAGCAGAGAGTTATATGAACTCCTCATGTGAAGTAGAAATGACTCTTAAGCGTTGTTTTAACTCTAATTTTGCAACCATTTTAGCTCTAGCAGAGAGTTATATAAACTCCTCATGTGAAGTAGAAATGACTCTTAAGCGTTGTTTTAACTCTAGTTTTGCAACCATTTTAGCTCTAGCAGAGGGTTATATAAACTCCTCATGTGAACTAGAAATGACTCTTTATATCTGTCTTTATACCAAGTTGCCAGATCGATTTACTGCTTTGGTGGCCATCTTCAGTTATAAACACCCTAACTTTGAAAGAATACCGATAATATTGTGCTCTCTGAAAATAAAATTTGGTCTTGTTACATGATATCGTAATTCAACGTGTGTCAAAATTGTAACACGCAATTATCCTTAAAAATCAAATTTGCATGCGCGATAAATCGCGCACCCAGATTCATGTGGATCGCGCGCCCCCAGAGGAAAGCCCTGGTATTGACACAATTTGGATTTCAACCAAATATTGACATTTTTGCATCACACCTTAATGCACAATTTCCCACCTATGTGTCATACAGACCTGACCCAGGTGCAATCGCGGTTGATGCGTTCACATTAAACCTAGCTAAATTCCAGTTCTATGCTTTTCCTCCATTTAGTGTCATAGCAACATTACAAAAAATGCAGGAGGAAGGAGCGATGGGGATAGTGGTAGTGCCAGACTGGCCAACACAATCCTGGTATGCCAAAGCCATGCAAATGTGCCAGAAACCTCCAGTACGTGTGGGTCCGGGGAGAAACCTGCTGAAATTGCCAGGTCAACTTAGGGAGTTGCACCCCCTACACAAATCGCTTGTGCTTGTAGTCTGCGACTTACCCGGCAACAGCTAATTGCACAACCATTCAAATTATAATGGTGTCATGGCGCCAAGCAACTGGAAAACAATATCAGTGTTATCTTTTAAAATGGATTAGCTTTTTGCCAAGATAATGGCATAAATATCGAACTAGTCAGCATGGGCTCAAATTTCTTACGTTTTTGTATAACAAGGTCTAGGCTATTATGCCATTAACACAGTGCGGACTGTATTATCTGCTGTGATAACACTGGATAGCCAGTGTAAGTTTGGTGAACACCCTTTGGTGACCCGGTTTCTCAAAGGTGTATTCGAACTTAAGTTATCCCTTCCCCGATACTCGGTAGTGTGAGACGTGGGCACAATCCTTATACACCATGCAGTCAATGGCCGCCATGGAAGAGCTACCTCTATCAATGTTGACGAAAAAATTAACAACTTTATTGGCTCTTTGAACTGCACAGCATTGCCAAACTTTATCTAGTTTAGACCTAGATTTCATGCAAGAAATCGATGAAATTATTTTTTCATAATACGCGAGAAACTAAAAACCACAGAGGCCGGAAAACATCTCATCTATCAAGTTTTTAAGCTATCCTGAAGACATCCATCTCTGCCCTGTTGCACATACCAAATTCTATATTGGTAAAATTAAGCCTATGAGATCTCACTATAAATTGCTACTAAGCTACATCAAACCGGTGCCAAATTCCACAATTGGTAGATGGGTCAAACATTTCCTCCAAGATTCAGGCATTGACATAAAAAAATTTTCAGCTCATAGTAGCAGAACGGCGTCTTACAGATTTTTATCTGGTTTGCCGCTTAACAACGTCCTCAAAGCTGGTGGTTGGACGAATGCCGGAACATTTGCCAAACATTATAATAAATCAATTGGTTCTAATTTTGGACACAGTATACTTACTCACTTTAATAACTGTCGAGAATGACATATATATCCCACATAGCTATGTAAATAAAAAGAGCAAAACTTTGTGTATCAAACATTGATATGATTGTTGTCACCTTCACTTCTTGCAACTTGCTGACCCTCACAGCTTTAAAATCTCATGGTATTCCGTAGTGACGTAGACTGATGCCGTATAGAATTTTAAAATTAAACGAGACTTACCTGTAAGTTGAAGTTTCATTTTTTTATTTTTTATTATTATTTTACAATCTTTGTCACATGACGGTTTAACCCACAGAGCTAGTTGCTCCTTTACAGGTAACCTGATTTGAATTCTAATGTCATCAGTTGGAAACGAAGGAGTAACATGCCCTCCCTTACGGAGAGTTTTCCCTCCCGATACTTCTTCGTTGCCATGTGAGAATCAGCAAGTTGGGTACTTTAAAATATGGCTAGGAAGCGAGCATGTGCTTCTCATGTAACTCCTTCGTTCCTGACTGATGACGTTATAGAATTCAAATCAAACTTCAACTTACAGGTAAGTCTCGTTTAATTTTAAAATTAGATCATAAATTCAGGTACCCATCCTCATGTTTCGTGCACAAATATATTTTACCTCGATCAAGACACATTTTCAACCAATCATTCCTAATGCCTAGTCTGATTCATGTGACCGAAATTGGTCGTACATGCAATTATCTGCACTTCTAGAAGCATTTTTAAAGTAATGCAGCTTTCCTCTTAGGCTGTCAAATTTATTTTGCCTTGTTTTTCACATCCTTTCTGCTGCTTTGTTCTTTTTTGGTCTCACTATCGCTTTCATTGCTATTTACATTGCCAATGAACATAGCTTTGTACACTTTATATTTTGCCTGACATTCCTCATTTGTTCGTATTAAAAAGTAGCATAGAATAACTTAAATATCTACAAACCATGCCCAGATGTATCATGTATCCATGTATCCAGATTTCTCTCCACCTAATTTCTTTAAAATCAAATTTCTTAAAATATGCCTGATATCTGTAATGGTTGAATAATTTGAAATACAAACCAATAAACATAACACGGCCAGTCCACAGATCTTGCTTGCTTCTCTAACGGTGTTATCAACAATGGAATACTTAAAAATTAACTATCCAAGATGGCTACGAGTTGTATAGCATCTAAACTCATATTTATTTTGAGGTTAACACTTTTTAATTCATCTTTCCTTGCTGAAAAACTGAGAAGCCAGTTAATGATGTTTCTAAAATCTTTGCTGCTTCAAAACTGGACATAAGATCTTATCCAAGTAGAAATTCGGGATTATCTCGCCATTACAAGACGTCGTGTTCTACACTTCCATGTTTAAAGATGGTCACTGGGATTCATTTGATCAAGTTTTCTCTTGCTGTGGTGATTTTGTTCTTTTTTGCAAATGATGTGAACTTAAACCTGTTGCTGGTTCTTTGGTCTGTCCGTGGTCTGAAGTATTTATTTGCGTTTTCTGGTTGCTGTAATTTTCTATCTGCTACTTGTACTAGCTGGAGATGTTGAAGTAAACGCCGGTCCTTTACGTAACTTAACGCTAAATATTAGCCATATTAATGCAAGAAGTTTAAATTTGACGAGATTTCAACCCTTGTGCTTGATCAAAATCTTGATGTTTTTGGCGTATCTGAAACCTGGCTAAATCATAGCATTGCCAGTGATTCTTTAAGTATTGATGGTTTTAGTCAAATATATCGATTGGATAGATGCGATGGTAGAAGGGCTGGTGGTGTTGCTCTTTACATCTCTTCTAGTTTCGCGTCAAAAAGACGTTTTGATTTAGAGCATGTCAATTTTAACTCTTTTTCGACCACCCCCTTTCGCATCATATTACGACACAATTTTTCTAATATAAATATCTCAGCGAGTATTTACCCCCCTTTTAAATAAATACCACCATTGTAATCCTCACAAAATAACCTTTCAAACGGGGGGTCAAGTGCCGTCTGAACATTACACAAACCGAAACAATCATATATTTACTCACCGCTTGGCCAAAGATTCTAAATTTCATATACACAAGATCTTGAATATCTCTTGAACATTTCGTCATTTGCCGAACGGCTATATGTGTAAAATACTCTTTGTATTCAAGCGCTTTCGTGTACAAAATTTTGTTTGAATACGGCGAGTAGAAATATTTATTTTGAATTTTTCAAGATGTCGGGTTTTACTCGCACTTGCGTACATTGCGCAATAATTGGCCAATAAGAAGCTCCTGTAGCCTGGATGACGTCAAACTCACGCGTGTAGGTGCAATTTGACCTTGCGAATCCATTTCAGGCCTTTGCAGGGTCATACGATACAAGCTTCGCATTGTTTTGACGGTTTTCAGTCGTATT